TCCCCAGGGAGGCACGCTGGGCACCTTCATTATGGGTCTTTAGACACCGGGCAAAAATGTTTCCCTACAACCAGGTCTTTGATTAACCTCCTGTATCCTTCTAAATGTGATTGTGGGAGGGGTGGGGGGGAGGGTGGTAATTAGTTTGTTCTGTTCTTGTTTTTATGATATATTTTGTGTTTTTTATATTGTATATTTATGCTGTGAACCGCCCTGAGACCTTCAGATGAAGGGCAGTGTACAAACTTAATAAATAAATAAAATAAAAATAAAATAAATGCAGCCCCTCCACATTGCACATTCAGGGTGTTTTGGGGGCGGTCACACACAGTTCTACTTTCAATACTTTTTTGCACTTGTAAAGGTTTTGTGGTTTTCATACTGCTTCGTTTCCATTCAGTGCCTATGCTGTAACATCCTGCTGAAATCCCAAAACTTTCCATGCCTTTCTCTTGCTGTGTTCTCCCAGTTTTGTTGTGCTATAGCAGTCTGAATACTTCATTTGCTGTGCACTGAGGCCTCCCCACACCCACATCCCCACATCCTCACATCCTCCCCACATCCTCACAGCGTCCCTGCAGGGTAGGCTAGATTAAGAGTGTGTGACAGGCGGCTTAAGTGAACTGAACCTTTTGATGCTGCTGCAGACACTATAAGGTCCTGTAAAAGTGTTCCTTGAAGAGATATGGGCACAAAGTTGGTGACTGGATTTGTTGTAGGATCCAGGCCCTGTCTTGGTGCCTCTTTAGAGTGGCCTGTTGCTGCTGAGGAGCTGCGCTCGGTTGGAGGACTGCCTAAATATGTCGAATCACGAGTCAGAAAATGTAACATCTTGTCCTGGCGAAGAAAACACAAGGAATCGTGAAAGGTTCCGGCCCTCTGGGGATTTGTTTGGAGAGGCAAGATCTAGTGAAAACTGAGGACACCTTCGGGTCATTCAGTGAGTTGCCAGTAGACTGACATTTCCAATTTTTAAAAAAATGCTTGTTGAGCTCTGCAAAGAAAAAACCCTCCCAAATGCACAACAGGCCAAACCTTTATCAGGACCCCTCAAAATGTCACAGAACAGGCATGTAGTCTGGCCAGATGCAGAAGAGACCAGGACTCCTGCACCTTTGATAATTGCATTGTCCTTCTGCATGCAAGACAGTTGCTCCACCACAGAGCTCCAGCGCTCACCCTTCTTAGTGTTCCTTTTCTTTAAACTGGACTTGGACTGGGAAGGCCTTCAAATACAGGATGGCTTAGAGGACCATCCTCTGTAAAGGAGGGCACCTGGCCACCTTCCTCTTTATAATGTTTTATTGAGTTCATATGACAACAACAAACGGAACAAACCCACCCTACTGACAAAATGAACCAAGATGAGAATAAGCATTATCATTCTAGAAAAATCACTACAAACTAGAAGGCAATATATTCTGAGGCAATCAGTACAGCTATGTAGTTTTGTACTGATTTGGCTGGTTCTCGTGGGCATTCTCTACATGTTCCTGGAAGCTATTCTCCCGATGCTTCTTTGTGCTGAATAGGAGGGGGAAATGCTTTTCTACTAGATGGGCTGTAATTTGCAAGTCATGCTGGGCCTTGCATCAATTTCATGCAGAATAAAATCCTTGTAGTTATTAGAAAATACAGCAACAGATGAGTTGAGTTACTCTGTTACCGTAATTCATTTTTCTTCTGAGGATGAGCAGCTAGGGAAATTGGAATAATGTTTTCAAAATAAAAAGCCTGGCCTTTGCAATGTAATAGATTTTAACATACATTAAAACAAAACTGTATATCAATACTATATACGGAAACCAAGATTTTCTAGAATTGGGGTGAGCAGAAGGGAGACAGGGGTCTACTGGCAGATTTCAGGGTGATTTGTAGTAGATCAGAAAGGCTTTATGACTCCCAATCTTTTAACAATTGCAAAAGGAAACTTACATTTCCCCCCAGATAAATTAGGTTACTAAAATGAAGGCGAAAGCCTGCCAGGAGTGGATTCTTGTGTCAGCTGATATTGGCAGTTCTTGCGAATTTAGGAAAAGACAAAGTAGATCCAACAAGCCTGAAAGCTATCCACCTTTGAGTTAAGAATGTAGTGTTTTTGAGTTTTGGGCTGGGCCTAGTGGGTCTGAGTATGCCGGAGTCCCTTCCAATTCCTGGATTCAACAAGGACTAATTTGTTGGAACGGCCTGACAAATTTATTGGTAGTGGCCCCCTAAGTATGGGTCGTTAATGTAACAAAGGAAGTGGGTCCCCATTCCTCAATTGTCTATTAATTAGAAAGACAAAATGCTGAAATCCAGCATTGCCTGAGCTCTGCGAGTGCAGCTTACTCCTGATTGAAGTGCAGAGTGTTTGAGGACCAGGACATTCACAGGGAAACCAAAATGCTTGTTTACAAAGCTATTGTACTACCAATATTACTGTATGCTTGTGAAACATGGACCACTGATAAACGCCACCTCCAACTCCTCAAAAGATTCCATCAACGGTGTCTCCGAAAAATTTAACACATCACTTGGAAAGACAGGAGAACTAATACCAGTGTACTGGAAGAAGCAAAGATCACCAGTGTTGAAGTAATGATTCTTCAACATCCACTTTGCTGGACTGGTCATGTTGTGCGGATGCCTGATGATCGTCTTCCAAAGCAACTACTCTATTCCAAACTTAAAAATGGAAAGTGTAATGCTGGTGGTCAACAAAAGAGGTTTAAAGACTGTCTCAAGGCAAATCTAAAAAAATGTAGTATAAACACCGGCAACTGGGAAACACTGGCCTGCGAGCGCTCCAGTTGGAGAACAGCCTTTACCAAAGGTGTCATGGGCTTTGAAGACACTTGAACTCAGGACGTAAGGGAGAAATGTGCTAAGAGGAAGGCACGCTTGGCAAAGCCACACCATGATCAACTCCTGCCTGGTAACCAATGTCCCCACTGTGGAAGGACATGTGGATCCAAAACTGGCCTCCACAGTCACTTAGGCCTCATTGTTAAAACTGTGTTTATTGAATACAGTCTTATTCGGCTACGAGTGATCGCCAAAATGAGGCATCAGGCATAAGCCTGCATTTTATTAATGTTTGATCAGGGCTTGTATATTAAAGAGGGCTTAGATTTTTAAAAGTTTCATGCCAGGCAAGAAGGCTAGCTGCTTAAGAAAACACTGACAGTGTTTTCTTCCTAGACAAGGGGCCCCTTGATTGATAGCAGAAAACAATTCTCAAAGTCGTAAAAGCTGAAATTACAGACTGAGTAAGGACACTGACCCTATATGTTATAGAAGATAAAAAAGGCAGAGATAAACATAATTAATAGTTGGTAAATAGTAAAATAATGCCAATGTGCCTCCCAGTAAAATGAGCCAGATCTTCTTTCTAAGGTTAAAAGGCCAAGACCAAATGGAGAAGCATCTGGCTGGCAGAAAGAGAGGCTTTTTGGGAAGTCTTTTTAAAGCTGTTTTCTTTCTTAAACTGAGAGAGTTTGAGGAAGAGCTAATGGAAACAAAGCAGCTGGCTGAAGGGGGGGGATGTAAACTAAAGAGGTTTCTTCTGAAACTGTTTTAAACTGAGTTCCCTTTTCTACTTCTACTTTACAAAGGCCTTATTCCTTTTAAAAGGCTACCTATGTTATGTATTGTCTTAAATGTAATTATGCAAAGGATTTAACAAATGCTAGAAGAGTTGTATTTATCTTGAAATTAAGTCAGCCACCAGCCCAGCCCTCTTGCCAGACAAGAAGACGCCATCCGGGCAGTCTTGATATATAGCTGCCAGACATTTGTTTAGAAACCTTCAAATGAAGGAGATCTTTCAATGTTGATGTGAAACTCAAGATCCTTGACATATGTTTAAGATAAAAATTTAAGATTAACCATTTGTTTTAGGAGGCAATAGGGCAAGGAGGGCAAGAGGTGAGCTGGTAATTAAGATTCCTTGTTGAGACACATGTAAGATATATTACTACTTATTTGTCATTTATAGATGTAACAATATATAGCTCTTTGTCCTCCATATAAGGACAAGAGGATATGGGTGTATCTTTTTGTGATTGGTTCTAGCAATCAGCCAATAGGAAATCCAACCAGGCTGATTGGACAGAGGCAGCCCAAGGAGGAGCAAAGGGGGCTGGATTAAGGGAATATAAGTGCTGGCCATAATGGCAGGAGGCCAGGCCAGAGCTTGGTAACCATATACCACTGTGCCTCTCATTTATTTGTCTGACAAATAAATAATTATTTTAATTTCTCTATTGCTGCGTTGAATATTTCATTCCAGCTAAGCGTTAACCACAAGCAGGGTGCTACATTATCTTAACCAAGACACTGGATTGCCCCCTTCAGTGATTCCCTTCTACTACAATGGGCCTTCCCTAGCACCAACTGATCTGCCTTCCTAATTACACCCATTTGAACCTTAAGATTTTCAGAGGAGGCCCCTTTTAATGGTTGCTCAGGAGCCGGCCTTCTCTCAGTCATTGATCCTCTGCAATGCTTACTCTCTGGGAAGCACCAAAGGTAATGAACTTCAAGCGACAGTTGAAAGCTGTTCTGTTTCCACAGGCTTCCCTTAACCCTTAAGGTGTTTTAAAGCAGGCTATGTTTGCTTTCTCGTTATTGTATTGTTTTATACGGCACGGGTGTCTTTTAATTTCACCCTCTCCCCTACACCCAGGCAACTACGGCACTGCAGGGGATGGAGAGACAGCGGAGACGGCCCCTTTCCCACCATCCGCTTAACGGCCGCACAGAGCTAGCCTAGCACCGCGGCGGGGGACTAGGGTCTCCGACTAGGCCGCAGCCAGGCCCTCTCGTCGCTATGGCGACAGACGAGAAGGGTGCTATGCTGCGCGGTGAGGTCACAGGGGGAGGGAGCGGGACACGTAGGCGCGGGCCGAGGGCGTCATCGGCAGCGGCCGCTCCGCTGGGCTCTGCTTGTTGGCTCGAGAGGAGAGGAAGGGGGGGTCGGAGGCGCGCGTGCTCGCTCCTCTCAGGGTCAGTCCTCCCGGAACAGTGGGCGCGAGGACCGCGGCGAAGGCACGCTCCGAGGGGGCGGGGAGGGGGGGAGAGCGGGCGCCTCCGGCTGTGAAACGCGCGTGCGCGCGCCTCCTCGGGTCGCCAGGAAGGAGCCCTCTCTTCGCCGGGGACCAAGCCGGGACAAGGCAGGAGACGAGGGAGGGAGGAGGAGGAGTGGGAGACGGACGCGGCCAATTGGGAGGTGGGAGCGAGGGGGTCTGCCACCAATCGGCTGAGGCGGAGGACAGAACCCTGCCAGCCGGGGGAGTGCTTGCGGGAGCCTCCCCGCCAATCCGAGGAGCGGCAGCCGCGGCCGGAGCCGGAGCAGCGCGCCAATCGCGGGCCAGCCAGCACCAGAGAGCGCGGAGTCGGGGATGTCCTACAAGCCCATCGCGCCTGCCCCCACCAGCTCCGGAGCCGCCGGCACCACCAGCAGCAGCAGCAGCGCCAGCCCCGCCCCCGGAGCCCCGCCGGTCGGTAAGAGACACCCCCCTCTCTCCCTCCGCCGGCCCCGGCTGCCGGCCCCGCCACCGGGCAGAGCGAGGGCGCGGAGGCGGCACGGCGGAGTCGCCTGGGCCGTGGCCGGCGCTTCCGAGTCTCCTCCTCCTCGTCTCCTCTCTGTGTCTCTTCCTCCCCCCCCCCCCCAACCCCGGCAGGGTTTTCCCGGCCTTTTACAGCTGCTTTGCAATACAGAACTCCGGTCTCCTCGCCGCGAAAGGAGAGCTGTGCATCCTGGAATTAGGATTTACTGTGTACTTGAATTATAAAAAGGGGAAAAAAGGGACACCCTAACTCATTCCAGACCGTGCGAATGTGCTTTACTCGTCACTGCGTTCCTCCTATGTAGGAAGAGCAGCAGCTGTTCGGGGAATCCTGCCGGGGAAAACAAAATGAAAGTTGAATTCTTAGGAAAGGCGTGTGTGAGGCGGAAAGGCGTGTTTAGAGTGAATCAGCAAACCCCCTTCTCTACCCAGAAATATGCCCCGCTGTGTCCATGGCTGTTGTCGCCTGAGTGTCGGGTGAATGACTTCTCCTTGGATAAGCAAGGAGGGGTGAAACTGTAGAGAGTAGTAGCGCGACGGGTTCCTCTGTCTCTCTGTAACTTCGGTTTCCTTCTTGGGTGGAGCATCCTCTAGCAAGGGTGGGGAAACGGCAGGTTTCCCGGATCTCCTTCAGTCCTTACCAAAACTCCCAAGACCCACCAACAAAGGGAGGTGAAAACAGTACTGTTAGAATTTGTTTTCAGTATCAGAATTGTCCTACAAAACCCACTCCTTGTTTTCCCTGTCCTTCCCCCTTAGCTTTCTTAATCTCCGCAGCCTCATTCAGAAATATTTTTTAAATCACATTTTTCTTGCTGCTGTTAAACAATCTTTGCTGATCTACTGCAGATCAGAGATCTTTCTACCTGTGGATCCTGGTCTGTCTTCTGCCTACCCCAGCCTTTTAGCATGTGGCAATGCACAGGTACCACTAGGAAAAAAATATGGATAGGGATAGTAATTCCTCAAAGTGTTTGGATCCTAGTATTGGGGCTTAGATTCCATTTCAATTTTTTTACATCATTTTGTGATGTGAAAGATACTGGCTGAACTTCACTCAGAGCCAGCCTGCCTCCCTACCACAGTTGGGTAATGGGAAGGATTTATTCCCAGGAACATTGTCTTTTAACCCTCTTCTTTTATGTATCTTGGCTTGCTTCCAGGAGATCTCTGAAGCTACTTGCTATGCCAGCACCTTTCTCCAGTACACGTTCCCTCTTTTTGGCACACTTCTATCTGAAATCTGTAGGTTAAGAGACTAGGGTGGGTGGGTGTCATTCCATTTATCAGAAGCCTGGGATCTATCTCCCTTGACCTGCTGAATCTGTAGCAATTTTAAGCACTTTTGCATACATACACACACACACGTTACATTTGTGGTTGCTTCTTCTTTTGGCTAAAACCTTGAGAGTAAGGTAAGAAAGGCCAGCACCTGCTCTTGGTGTGAAGCCATTGGCTGCACATCATTGAAGAGTTGATAGAATACCACCTTTATTAACAGTTTAAAGAAAACTGGCTATATATTATTTCTGTATTAGCTTTTGAAAACTATTGTGAAGGAGCACTTACCTTAACACAGTTCTACAGGAAGCATCTGCAGTGTTGTGTGTGGTTTTGGTGGCTTTGCTTGTGACAGCTGTAAGTGCATCTGTTGCACAAACAAAAGCACACAACTAAATGGGGCAGAAAATGTAGGCGACACTTTACAGTAACAAATAGGGTTAGCTAATAATCTCTATAATGACCCAGCTCTGATTCAATGAAGTAATCCTCTTAATAAAGTAGCTGCTGTTCTTCTCTTTCTGGAACTCTCAAATCAAAATAATTAACTTGCTTTCAATCTCCTTTCCCCCTACAAATTGACTCCAGATGCTTCACAAACTACATACTTAAACTCTTATTACTGGCACAACAGCTCCCACTCTGCTTGTAAAGAATCTGAAAACGGGAATTTTCTCAATTAAGGGCTCAATGTTTGCAGACTTTCTATTTTTAGAAACTCTATCAGAGTTTAATAGTTTCAGTGGTTTTTAGTCTGATTAATAGCATGTGCACACGCCCTTCATGCATGCATGCATAATATATTTATTTATTAACAGTATTTATTTGCTGATTTATAACATCAATTGTAGGGACGCGGGTGGCGTTGTGGGTAAAACCTCAGTGCCTAGGACTTGCCGATCGTATGGTTGGCGGTTCGAATCCCCACGGCGGGGTGAGCTCCCGTCTTTCGGTCCCAGCTCCTGCCCACCTAGCAGTTCGAAAGCACCCCTAAGTGCAAGTAGATAAATAGGTACCGCTTTATAGCGGGAAGGTAAACGGCGTTTCCGTGTGCTGCGCTGGTGCTGGCTCGCCAGAGGAGCTTCGTCACGCTGGCCACGTGACCCGGAAGTGTCTCCGGACAGCGCTGGCCCCCGGCCTCTTAAGTGAGATGGGCGCACAACCCTAGAGTCGGATACGACTGGCCCATACGGGCAGGGGTACCTTTACCTTTACTTAACATCAATTGTACAAGTGATGGATTGCTGCTATTGGCTGATGCTCCATAGGTAGGGTGAGAAATGCACAATGAGGGGCAAGGAACGGTGGTGGAATTCAAACTAATGGAGGATAGTGACATATTCTTACCAACCTGTGGAGGTGGCTTCTCTTTTTGCTCCCTTAAGAGAACAACTGTTGCCTTTGTACGTTGGGCTGCAGGAAGCTAAGACAAAACCACAAGCTTCTGTGGTCAGCACTGAAAAAGCCTGGGGGAAGTGCTGAGCATTTATTTGATCAGTACATTTTAATTGTTCATGCTGTTCTGTCTTTAAAAAGTCTTGTTGACATTTTCAAGGAAAATAAATAAAGCAAGATCACACCTAGATGCAATTCTATATTAGAATCTAAAGTGAGAGACAAGTTGTTGTGAGGGCAGGGGATTGCTTTTAGTTCAGGCCTAACAAAGGAAGCTTGGTTATTAAAACACAGTTGTGCATGAGTAACTGTTACATTTCCAGACTGGCAAAAATGGATAGGAGTAAACTAGACATTCTTGAACTGCATTCAGATCTAACACCCCAGATATAGTATATGTAGTTCTCTAATACCATATGTGTGCCAATGAATTGACTGGCTACATTTTTTTTTACAACTTTCATTGCATTCATTGTTACTAATATGATTTCTCCTCTTTCTGTGTGAAGGGAAAGGCTATACACTTTACTCTGAGGTAACAGTACAGCATTTTTAAATACAAACAAAAACCCCACCATATATTTCAGGTAATCCCAATTCCCCATCACAGGCCTATACAATCTCTCTTGTTCAAACATAGGCAAACTCGGCCCTCCAGATGTTTTGGGACTACAACTCCCATCATCCCTAGCTAACAGGACCAGTGGTCAGGGATGATGGGAGTTGTAGTCCCAAACATCTGGAGGGCCGAGTTTGCCTATGCCTGCTCTTGTTAGTGGAAGGAGAATGAATGAATGAAGTGTTTATTGATTGTGTACATGAAAACTTGATGTCCTGTCAACCTTTGTAGGAAAATACTAGCCAGGAATATTTTTATAGTCACCATCATCATGTTATATAATTTCCAGTTGGCCAATCTTGCAAATAAATCCCCCAAAGTTGCTACCTGCATTTTTTGTGCATGCTTGTGTAATCACTTGTGATATATAGCTGTCTGGAAAAGAAAGCACGTGTACATTTTTTAAACTTTATGGGAAGATGGTTGTGAATTAGTTTGTCCTGTTTTGCAATAGAAGTGGGTGATACAAACCCTGCATTTTAATGGTTAAGAGCCTGTGATGTGTGTCTAGGACTGGCAGTGTATTAATCCCTGATGTAGGAACCACACCCAGTCCCCTTTCCCCTACTGTAGACTTCCAGGACAAGTTACAACAAAAATAACTCCTCTTCTTTTTCCAGCTGTGCGATTTGTGCCAACCATATTGCATAAGTGTTCAGGGAGAAGCTAGGATGGTCATTTGAGGATCAGGAGCAGCAGCTTTCTGTCCATGGAGTGTTTGAAAGGCATATAAGTCAGGCACTGCCCAGCAAAGCCCCTTGACTGGCAGTGGCCATGCCCACACTGGAAAGGCAGGGAAGGACACAGTATCTTCTTAGAGCATGGGGCTGATAATGCCAAGATTGCAAGTTCGATCCCTGTATGGGACTGCTGCGTGTTCCTGGGCAGGATAATCCTCGGGGTCCCTTCTAACTCTGTGATTCTATGATTCTATACCCCTCACAAGAAGTTACAGTGGTACCTTAGTTCTCAGACTTAATCCGTTCCAGAAGTCTGTTTCAAAACCAAAGCGTTCCAAAACCGAGGCGCGCTTTCCCATAGAAAGTAATGCAAAATGGATTAATTCCATTCCAGACAATTAAAAACAACTCCTAAAATAGAAATTTAACATGAATTTTACTATCTAACAAGGACCATTGATCCATAAAATGAAAGCAATAGACCAGGCTGCAGTCTGCTACCAGTATAAAAAACTGGCAGTGATCTACCCAATGCCATTGGAGGGATGAGCATATGGGGTGCATGAAGGAGGAGTTGGGGGGGGAGGAAAGGGAGGCAAAAGTTCTCTCTCTGAGGAGCCAGTCGGCTTCTCTCTCCCCGCCACCCTTTCTGGATCCCTACTGCCCCCCCCCCCGCACCCCTTCCTCACCTTCTTCAGGGCTGGCACAAGCAGCCCCCGCCACTGGGTGCGTTCTCACTGAAGAACTCTTACTGCAGTGGTGGCACCAGCATTGCTGTCCCACACCCTGTGAGGGGATGCTGCATTAGTCACTTCTGGGGCTGAGCTGCTTGGCGTGGTGCCGCGGTGACACCCGGTACTGGAGAAGGGGTGGTTGCTGTGGCGCACGGCCTTCCCTCGCTCAGCATTGGCCGTGCAGTGGTGCAGCTGCTTCCGGGTGTTGCCAGTGGCCAGCGCGGCCGGCGCTGAGTAAGAGAAGCCCAGGTCAGGTTGCAAGTGAGCAGGCAACAGAAGTGTGGCACTCAAAATGGAAGTTCACCCCCCCAGAATTCAGATTCCAAAAAAAGTTCGGGTTTGAAGCATTCAGGTTCCAAGTAGTTTGTGAACTAAGCTCTTCAAAAACCAAGGTACCACTGTAATGAGCCTTGTTAAGTCTGGTATAGGAGAGAACCCAGGACACTGTTGACTAAATTCCCCATTTCTTCTCATATTGTTTTCAGCCACGAGTGTCCCATCTCCATCTGGAGCCATCTCTGGAGCTTCTGCCCCCTTCCGACCTCTCTTCAACGATTTTGGGCCCCCTTCGATGGGCTACGTGCAGGTGAGTTTCTACTTTGGAATTGAGGGGGTATCTTGCTGGCTGGTGGAACTAATTGGGAAAACATGGTGCAATGACAAGCATTCAATCTGTGCAGGCTTCACAGCCTGTCAGACAGAACAGCCCCTCTTTTACTCCTACTGTGTGCTGTTCTGGGTGTTCTCCCTATCCTACCAGTCAATTTAGGGAGGCATGGGGAGAGAAGATGGGAGGAAAGGCCTGTTGCACAAGCGGAAGCCCTTCTTCAGGCCTATCCACTGATGGGGCTCATTGGGGGAATCCTGCCCAGAGTGCCTTTCACTTTTTTCCTGTCCTTGATCTTACAGGCTATGAAGCCACCAGGTGCCCAAGGCTCCCAGAGCACATACACAGACTTGCTTTCAGTCATTGAGGAGATGGGCAAGGAGATTCGACCTACCTACGCAGGCAGCAAGAGTGCTATGGAGAGGCTGAAGCGAGGTAGGAAGCTTCCTGAGAGCTGAGTGCCTACTGGTCATGGGGTGTGGGAGCACATGAAATAAGTCATTCTAGCCCTGCAAGGCCTACGCAAGCCTGGAACTGAGCGAATTTATGAAGTCCCAAATGTAACCTAACCTTCCAAAATGCTCTAGAAACAATGACTCACAAATCAGAACATGACACTTGTCCTTTTTTGTGGGCGGGGGGGGGGGGGTAGAATTACTTGTTTGTTAAATTTGTAGCCTGGCTTTCCTCCAAATGCTTCTCAAGGCAGCTAACACCCATAAAACATAATACTCCAGTAAGAAGGCAATAAAAACATTTAAAACTGGTAAGCAAAACAATAAAAATAGCCAGTTAAAACCAATTATAGTTTATTATACACATCAGCTTATTGACCAAAGATCTATCTATATAAAAAGAATGTTGCCTGCTGGCAGGTCAATCAGAGGCAGTCCCTCTCAGAGCCTGGGAGCAGCCACCAAGAAGGCCCTCTTGTGATTTCTTAAATTCTACTTGCTGTTGTTCATAGCTATAGATTTTGTAAATGACTGGTTTAGCAATATCATCCAATTAACCCTTCATTTCAGTTTCTTCACCCTTGAAAAGTTAGTTTCAAGCTCTCTGCTTGCCCAGGCAGAAATTGAGGGGGAAGTGTCTCCCTTGCCTTAAAGACAACTCCCAATGTAATTGGTCAACTCTGCAATTTTGAATGCAGGTAGCTGCATTATACTGGAAACAGGTAGAAACCTGCTGGATTAGCATTTCTGTACCCTTGCTTACAGTAAGGTGTTGACCTACTTTTGCAAGTGGTTGTCTAGCTGTCCTTCGTACCTTCCTCTGCCTTTCTGCTTGTACCTTTCCTTCTTTTATACAAGCACATTTGTATAAAAGGCCGCACGATACACTTTTTCTACATGAACTAAACTTCAGCATGCATGGGATGGCATACACAAAAGCCTGGCATGGGCGAGATATGCTGCAGTTGTGAATTTTGGCAAACAAGGGACTGTTGAGTTGGTACAATGAAACTGATTGCTCAGTGGTTGTCTTAAGTCTTGTGCCTTTCCTTCGCAGGAATTATTCCATGCCCGGCCGCGCTGGTTAGAGAGTGTCCTGGCAGAGACAGAGCGCAATGCCCGAACGTAACAGTCGCTTCCTCCTGGCGCTGCCCCTGGAGGACCCTGGCACTTTCTGGCCAATCAACATTTTGGAATCTGGAGATTTCCCCCCACCCTCACCCCTTCAAATCTTTCCACCAATCAGTGTCTCAAGTCCTAGAACTGTGATCACCTTCAAAGACCTTTACACCAATTGGCGCCTAATAATCTGAAGCTTCTACTGCATCACAGAACTTCCCACCAATTGGCACTCTGGGAGTAGATGCAGAAAAGAGCTTGTTGCTTACACCTTCTGGTCAACTGATGAGAATAATGGCTGGTAGCAAGTCTATGTCTTTATAAATGCAAGGTTTTTTTAAATAAGTAAAAGGAAAAAGTTGGAATTTGGATTACCTGTTCTTCGCTGTGGTTTTCTATTTCCCCCCCGCATGTGGTGGTGAAGGAAGTAGTCTCTTCCTCACGAAGACATTACCGAGGGCCCATAGTGGAAGATGTGCTTTTTTAGTAAAGCAGCACAAGGCCTTCCCTACCACTTGTAAAAGAAGCCTCAGCCAGCCGTCACTGAGCCTGTATTGGGAAACTTGTAATAAAATATTTCTACTCCTATCTAATCTGTCTGTGCTGTTATTACTGTGTCAAAGCTCCAATCTCATGCTGTTCTGTAAAGTTGTCCCAAATTCCTCCTCCTCCATTTTTGTTGGGTTTTGAGGGGATGGTTGTTAAGTTTCTGGTTGCTGCTGCTTTTAACCATGGAAAATCAAGCCAGGTTCTTTAGAAGAGGCCTAACTTGATGCCTATTTTCGCACTTCGTACATTCATTGCAGAAGTGATTATCTCCAAACCAGAAATGAAACTAGCTTTAGTATTTCAGTAGAAAATTGGTTTTTATTTAATATGACTCTTACTCAGGATTATACTGGGCTCCTGTTTCATTCCCAAGGTTGTTACTGGGACAAGGCTGGATGCTATGAGCATAGCTAGATTCTATGAATGGAGCATGGGTCTCCAAAGCAAGGTGTGTCTGAGATTTGCATGTAAGAAGTGGCTAAGAGTGGCTTGCTCATGCCTGCCAGCTGTAGAAAAAGAAGGGTGGCATGAGGATTGAGCAGGAGTAAGTAAGCACTCTCTTTCTGTCTGGATTCTCTTCCACAAATGGCCTGCCTTCACATTAAAGCTGGGAGGTAAACTTTGGTTGTGTGTTTGCTGGCGTAAAGTGTCCTTCAGCCCTTAAGGCTACTACTGACTGGTAATTCACGATGTGCCCAAAGGTGAGATGAGAAGGTGCGTTGTTCCTGAGGAATACCTAGTCTGGGCCACCTTAGAGAAAGGCAGGGGGTGGCAAATATTCCAAACCCGTTTGGCCTAAAATGCCCCTTTTGTTTTCTAGAGACTTTTGGCCACTTGAAAAGGGCAGAGCAGGGTTGCACATTTGGTCCCAGAATACTTGCTAAGTCTTAAAAGCTTTTTTTAGAACTGAAGGGGGATTTGTTTATTAAGAGATTTTTATACTGCTTCCTGTAATAGTCTTGAGGTGGTGTAAACAATTTAAAATGCAATACAATGCAGTAAAATAAATGCAGCTGAAAGCAATTAAATCAGATGCTGGAGCTGAGCAACAGCAAAGGTTAGGAAACACACGTTTTAAGCAGGTTGCTGAATTAACATTTTTCTTTTTAATGCCATTTTTTAAAAAAAGTTGAATTATGAACACAGTTTGGTTGGTTGATGTATAATCCTACTTTGCAAGTAAGCTCTGTTCAGATAACTAGGCTTACTTGGCAAGTAGAGGTGTGTAAAAATGGGTCTAAGGAGTCATCCGAGTAGTTTTGGCTTTTGTGTTTGATAAAATGTCTGACTGTGCAGTAGTATAAACAATATTAAATGCTACCCTTTGAGACTCATTGTTAAGAATGCCCATTTGTACTTCGATCTTTGCCTGCCTTTAATGAGAAGATGCATCCTAGGCATAGGTGAAACAAAATCTCTTTATTTTGAAAGCTTTTTAAAGAAAGCCTTTTTGTGTGCAGTAGGTTCATGTTCTGGGGGGTTCTCCTGACCCTCCGGAGTGGATGTGGGGAAGGAGAGCCCCATTGTGCTGGTGGGAGCCCTTGCACTGGCTTCTCTCAGCACACCAGGTTAGTTGAATCCAGGCCTCTGTGTGCAAGTATCTGGGATAGACCTGTCTCCTGTCACTCATAATATAGTATCATAGAATCAGAATCTTAAGACTTGGATGGGACCCCCAGGGGCAATCTAGTCCAACCCCCTGCCATGCAGGAATATCAGAACTAGATAATTCCTTATCTATATCCACATGGAAGTCAGTACAGTGGTACCTCAGATCAAGAAACTTAATTCGTTCCGTCTGTTCTTAACCTGAAACTGTTCATAACCTGAAGCACCACTTTAGCTAATGGGGCCTGCTGTACCACTGGAACACAATTTCTCTTCTCATCCTGAAGCAAAGTTCTTAACCCGAGGTAATATTTCTGGGTTAGTGGAGTCTGTAACCTGAAGCATATGTAACCCGAGGTACCACTGTATCAACAAATTTCACAGAGGTGGGAGGAAGTAATAGTTCCTTTAGCTTGTGACATCCTTTGAGAGCTTGGGAAATGTGAGTTTCCTGCGGCAGAAGCATAACCTTGAGAGAAACATGCAAGGGACTGCAAAACAAAGTGATAGGCAGTATTGTGTAAAAGTGATTCTGTGTAAAAGCCTGAAGGATACAGCTGCAGTTAAATATTTTTCATTAACCAGGCTACAGTGCTAAGCCAAAAATCTATGTTCTATCAGATCAATAGAACCACTGCTGTCTTCTTCGATCATTGCATATTGCAGGAAGAAACTTTTCAATATACAAGCAGCCTCTGAATGTGAAATAAAATGTACATGTAGGATTTAATTTCTATAATGTTAATATTGGATGGAGTAAAATGGTGCTGTTTTAAGTCTTAATGGTGTTAAATTAACTGCACCTAATCATTTTGTTAGCTGTTTAGTTTTGGGAAAGAGAGATGTGAGGAAAGGAATGAGGTCACGTGGCTCTTAAGTGAACTGTTTATACTGAGTTGTGATTTGTAGAAATTTGAGACTGGAGGAGGGAGAGAGATGCAAAATATGTGTGTACCTTAACCTAAGGAGCAATGTTTCCGATTCTGTACACTTATCAGAGATTGAGTCCTGTTTAAATCAGTGAGGTTTATTGATCAAGGTGCAAATGATCATCCCTCTCAGCCAGTGTTTCTTCCAGGAGTAGGAAGCCTGTGGCCCAGTAGATGTTTTTGGGACTCCCAACTCTCATCAGCCCCACCATGGCCAATAGGTGGAGAAAATGAGAGTTGCAGTGTAGCCAGAAGTTACCTGCTGCTGGTGTGTGTGTGCATGCAAGTTGTGGGCCTTGAAGAATGAATCCTTTGGTTAGCAGCAGTTCGAAACAAAGAAATGGGAAGCTGAAATTAGTAGCAAACTGGAATATACCACAGTACAGAACAAATGACCTGCCAAACTATGCCACCACAAAGAACACTATAAAACTAATGTGTATAAAAACAAGATTGTGCTGGAATGTGAATATCCCAGCTTGCAACATTCTAAATCCAGATATACCATAGATTTTGATAAAGGAGTTGTATTGGCAGTTTTCCTTTTACCCTTTTCCTAGTGTTAAAGGTACTCTTGTTCACTTCTGTGTAAACGTGAAGGTCAGACTGCTTGCTTAAATCCCTTTCCTAAGTAGCTACAAAAAAACTGGAGCTCAGCTGGGTGTGGTGTTTTGAGCAAGAATACTCTGGATACAAGGGCTAAATGTGAAAACAAATTCCTTGGGAAGTGGCAATGTACTAAATATGCAAAAGGTTGGATCTAAATTGAACCTTGCCTAGTAATGTTAAGTGTATTTATTCTGAAAAGGGACTTGCCGTTAAAAGTAGCGAGTAGCCCATTACCAAACTGGAATGCTGTAGTTCTGAAATCAGCTGAACAGGCATTCAGCAGAGGTTAAAATAATGTGCTTT